CGAATTGTTTCATGGCTTTTAAGCTCTATTGAACCTAATATGGTCAATAATCTTCGTTCATTTATGACTGCTAGAGAGATGTGGGATTACTTATGACAAATTTATTGTCAGGATAATTCTACACCAAAATTTCAATTGGAGTTGGATATTGGTAATTATCGACGGAGAAATTTGTTAATTGAACAATTTTATTCGGGTTTTATTAACTTATGGAGCAAGTATTTTGAGTTGGTGCAGTCTAAAGTTCCTGAAGATGCTTTAGCAGCATTACAAATGTCAAATGTTTCATTCTAAAAGTCAGCGGGATCAGTTTTTGATAAAGCTACGACCCGAATCTGAAAGTGCACGCGTTGGGTTAATCGATTGCAATCCTGTACCGTCCTTGGATGTCTGCTTAGGGTAACTCTTGCGTGAAGAACGACGACTTGCTTCTCAACATGTCATCAGTCAAAACAATGAGAATATTGAGATGGTCAATGTAGCCTATGCCGCACAAGGCAAAGGAAGATCCAAATCATTACCATAGTGTTACTGTTGCAAGGAGTTCGGCCACGTTGCAAAATATTGTAACAAGAACTTCTGCAACTATTGCAAAAAGGAGGTTTATATTATCAAAGACTGTCGTGTGCGAACTCAAACTCAATCAACTCCTGTTTTTCATCTTACTGTTCAATCCAACCTTGCAGCTGCATATTCAGATCAGTTAAGTACCTCGGGTTCCTCTCCGACTCTTACACCTAAACATGTTTAACAGATGATTATTTCTGTTCTCTAGGCCCTTGGCCTTCAAGGTAAAAATAATTCATCTCCTTGGTTAGTTGACTCTGTAGCTTCCAATCACATGATTGGTAATAGGGAGGTTCTAAATAATGTTCGTAAGTATGACGATGAGAAGCATATCCAGATAGCTAATGGTGGTACTATTCCTATCAATGCGGTTGGGAATTTAGGGTCTTCCTTTACTAATGTTTTTATCCCTCCACATTTATCTGCCAATTTAATATCTGTTGGCCAACTGGTAGAAGATAACTATACTATTCATTTTGATCATAATGTTTGTCGTGTGCAGAATCAAGGGGCCTGAAGTGGGATGTCTTTTTCCACTTTAGTCATTTTCTATTCCTAATTCTATTCATGTTGGTTATTCTACCATTTCTTTTAGCTCCCGTTTGGCCCCCATTCTCCTTCTCATTGTTTTTCTCTTTTATTTTCAATCACACAATTTTTCATAAAATAATATTACACGCAAATCAGAAACTTTTCATTTTTTTTCAACCACACATTTTTAAAAAAAATACTATTCCAGCCATTAAAATTTGAAAAGAATGGAGGCCAAACGGGGGCTTAATAGTCATTTGTGGCATAAGAAATTGGGAATCCCAATTATGTTGTTTTAAGACATCTTTTGAAATAAGTTTATTTGAATAATATGAATGGATTTTCTTCTTCACACTTATCTTTCGATTGTGCATATTGTAAACTTGGTAAGAGTAAATCTTTACAATTTCCTTTACATGGTAGTCGCGCTTCTACGTGTTTTGAGATTATTCATACTGATGTTTAGGGTACAAGTCCTATTATTTCTCCTACTTAGTACAGGTACTTTGTGACATTTATTGACGATTATAGTCGCTTCACTTGGGTCTATTTTCTTCGATCTAAAATTGATGTCTTTTCAATCTTTCAAACTTTTTTTGCCTATGTGGGAACATAATTTTCAACTTGTATTAAGATTCTACCCTCCAACCCTGGTGGAAAATATATGTCTCGTGATTATTAATCTTACCTACAACAGAAGGGAATTATTTCTCAGCCCTTCTGTCGTATACCCCACAACAAAATGGAATTGCCTATTTATTTGGCATCATCCCTAAATATGATTCCTTGCATATCTTTGGTTTTGTATGCTTTGTTCACTTTGCCTCTCCTGAACGTCATAAACTTGCTGCTCGGGTGGTTCGATGTGCTTTTCTTGGCTATAGTAACTCCCATAAAGGATTTGTTTGTTACGATGCAAATGCTAACAAGTTATGTATTTCTAGAAATGTTGCTTTCTTTGAAAATCAATATTTCTTTACGTCTCGTATCGAGTTTGTTTCTCCTTCTACTGCTTCACTTCTTTCCTTTGATGATGACTCTAGACTAGTTAGTTGTTTTAAGCTAGGTCTTGTGTATCAATGCCATCATCCACTGCCTCTTCCTACATTTGATTCTATTATACATGTGCCTCATTGATTAGCTCGACCTTTCGGCCTCAGGATAGGTATGGGTTTTCACATTCTGCTCATCGGACTAGTCTTGATAATATGTCTGTACCTAAGTCCTACTCTCGGGTCTATACTCAAGAATGCTAGCATCAAGCTATGATGGATGAAATTCAAGCTCTTTAGGAGAATTACACTTGGGATATCATTCATTGTCCAATTGGTGTCAAACCTCTTGGATGCAAATAGGTTTATACCAATGTTATCAAATCGGCCCGGCCTAGTTGGTTCAACTGGTATTACTGGGGACCGGGCCCAAAATCGGGCCAATCATGCCTGATTAACCGCTTAAAATCCCACTGAATCGGCCGGTTTAACTGTAAACCGGTGAACCGATCAAGGTTTTGTGGTATTCCCAATTTTTTTTTCAGTTTAAAAAATTTCAATTTCATGAATGAGCCTCATAAATAACAATTCAGAGGCCCGTGGAGAAATATTAGATGACGTGCTCCTTTTATAGGTGCACCTCTCTCAAGTAGTTTCATAAACTTCAAATGTGGGATGTGCACTTCTCTCCCATGATTTCATAAACTTTCAATGTGGGATAGTGGCATAACAAAAATGTTAACAAATTATATAATAATGAATCTAATTAACAAATTATTAATATGAAAATTTAAAAAAAAAAAATATTGTTTTCATAGTATTTTATTATTTTTGTATGTATTTATTGCATCCGGTTTGACACCGATTGATCCTTTTGACCCTTCACCTTTTTCGGATCAATGACCAGGCCGATTTTCAAAACATTGGTTTATACTATCAAATTGTGTTCTGATGGCATTATTGATAGGTATAAAGCTCGTTTAGTGGCTCTCGGGAATCGACAGGAATATAGTCTTGATTACGAGGAAACTTTTGCTCCTGTGGCTAAAATGACTATTGTCAGTACAATTTTAGGATGGCAACTTCGCCAGATGGATGTAAAGAATGCCTTCTTGCTTGTTGATGTAAAGGAAGAAATATTTGTCTCCTCCACCCAGCATGTATTCTCCTTCTACAGATGTTTGTCGCTTAAAATAATCCTTATACCATGAGCTTGGTTTGAAAAATTTAGCTCTACTCTTCTGGACTTCAGTTTTATTCAGAGTTAGTACGACTCTTCCCTCTTCTTCCACACTACTCCTGCTGGAATTGTCTTTCTTCTTGTGTATTTAGATTACTGTGATTATGGGTTCTGATTCTCAATTTATTGAGAAGCTTCAACAACAGCTTAAATCTTCATTTCATATGAAAGATCTTGGTCCCCTCCAGCACTTTTTTGGCCTTGAGATCCAACATTGTCCAACTGGCACAATACTACAGCAGCATAAGCATACACAAGAGTTGCTCTTGTTAGCCGGTCTTCAGGATTTTAATTCGATTCTTTCACTTATGGAGGTAAATTTAAAGCTTCGTTGGGAGGGTGGTGATCTCTTATCCAATCATTCGTTGAATTAATAGCTGGTGGGCAGTTGGAATTATTTGACCATTACTAGGCCTGATATTTCCTTCGCTGTTCAACAAGTTAGTCAATTTATCCAAGCCCCATGTCAGGTCCCATTTGGCTCTTGTACGTAGTCTTCTTCAATATCTCAAAGGTACTTCTCGTCATGGTTTGTTCATTCCATCTGGTACCTCACTACAATTGGTGGGATTTAGTGATACTGATTGGATTGGTTGTGTTGATACTCGTCGTTCTATCTCCAGTTGGTGTATGTTTTTTGGTGGTGCACTTATCTCTTGGAAAAGTAAGAAGTAGGCTCGTATTTCAAAATCTTCCACTGAGTCTGAATACCAAGCCATGTCGACAACTTGTTCTGATATGATTTGGCTTCACGGTTTGTTAAGGGAAATTGGTGTTCCGTGAATTTCTCCTATGCCTCTTCATGATGATAATACCAGTGCTACTCAGATTGCCAGTAATCCAATTTTTCATGAGCGTCCCAAATACATTGAAGTTGATTGTCATTCTATTCATGAAGCAGTTGGTCTTCATGAGATTTCTCTTCCTCACATTTCCAATGAGAACCAAACCGCAGATGTCTTTACTAAGGCCTTATCTTGCCATCGCCATCAGCATATGATTGACAAATTAATGCTTCTTGATTGACCAGTTTCAATTTGAGAGGGACGTCAACGGGATTGATTGGTTATCTTCCAACAATAGAATATATGATTTTATATAATATAATTAGGTTTTCCTAGTCTAGATTATTACTATATTTAGAGGCTGTAATTTTCTCTATTTAAAGAACGATTGAACCTCAATTGAGGCATCGATTGGGAGTACAATTCTAAAAGAATACAACTTTAACACTAACCATGTTATGCACCATGTTGCAGCTTTATACTCTAAAATACGTGTTACAATTAATCTCTTTTTCATGGGTGCAACTTCTATCACGTATGTGTGCTCCATTAGAGTTTTGAAGAATTATGTCATTATTGTATCTTCTTACTGGTATATTTGGGACTAGTATTAAGAGTAAGCTGGTTGAGAAATCTTATTTAATAATTCTTTTATCAATCTGTAATATCATTTTTTTCTACTTGTTATTCGGGGGGGCTTTTTTATTTCTTTTACTGAAACTCATTATATTGTAGTCTTTTAACGATGCTGATCTGAACTATTGTAGTCTGTTAATGATGCTGATTTGAACCAGAAGCATTTCCATTTGTCTTTATTTTTGCACTTATCTTAAACCATTTGATACATAATATTGAACGAATGATATGAACAATAAATATATTTAGGTGACTGGTGATTGCACATATTTTGATTGCAAGAGGTTGCCACTCATTTTAGAGAGTGAGACACTAGGCAGTGTTCCAATTGGCTTGCCAATTTCTAATTGTGACGTGGTGCTTTTTGGAGAAAATGGTACAGATCAAGGGGAAATATATGTTGGTGGACACTGCATTGCAGCGGGTTATTTCTGCTACCCTTATCTGATGCCACTGGAACTTGTGGAAGTGCCTCCAGATAATTATGTTGGGGGTCCCAGCAGTGCACATAGAGTTCAATGTTACTTTAAAACTGGTGATTTTGCTAGAAAGCTTCAGGGAGGTGATTTTGTTTTTATTGGTAGAAAAGATCGCACCATAAAGGTTAATGGACAGCGCATTGCTCTTGAGGAGATTGAGAATACATTCAGGGAACATCCGGATTTAGTTGATGCTGCAGTAGTTTGCCGTGAAGTTGAAGGGAAAATCCTACTTCTTGAAGCTTATTTGGTGACTGTAAAGGGGGATTCAGAGGGAGAAACTTTGAAATCTTCCATTAGGAGTTGGATATGCAGCAAACTTCCACAAACAATGATACCTAATCATATCTTCTTCACCAGCTCTTTGCCTTTGTCTTCCTCTGGGAAAGTGGACTACTTGTCATTGGCTGGTGGTTCCACATATTCCAATGGACGTTCCATGGAGAAAGTAGAAGTAAATCCTCCGGATAGCTTCATTCAAGTTATTAAAAAGGTTTGTCTGCGTTACCTTCTCTGTGTACATAGCTGCATATATGCATGATGCATGCTCACAGGCATATGGATTCATAAAATCTCGCATGCTTCCATACATGCATTTTCTGAAGATAAGTACAGGTAATTGATCTTTGATACTCACGCTGGTGTTATAACTTAAAAAGAAGTTCTGAACTGAACAGCCTGGCACTTTGTAAACATACAGTGTTCATGTTCTGTATAAAACTCAACACGAGTTTATTTTCCAAGATATATGATTTTGTAGCATTTATGCCCTTGATATTTTTGAAAAGAACACTAAATGAACTGAAAAATAGATTAGCTTTCTTGGGTAACTTAGTACGGTACTCACTCCTATTACCATAAATATTAGTATTCCGTTTTGTAATCCACTTGAAATGCCACTTTCCTCTTAATGAAAGAATAAAACTGTTCACGAAGTCAAAAATCTATCTTAAAAGATGGGAGTCTTTTCTAAGTATAATAACAACAATACATTAATGACTAAAACACAATAGCTCGAAAGCATGGGACCCACTTGAATTTGAAAGCACTCTTTTCATACATATACCTATTTTCTTCATTTTATATTTATGCCAAATCCTTTAGTGATGAACATTGTAGAACTGAGGAAGTAAATGGAAAATTAATGCTTTATCTTGCATCACGTATGCATGCATGTTCTTCTTCCCTTTTATTTCCTATACTCATGACATTACCATATTGGATATACATTCCCTGCCCTTTTACCGAGGATAGTATGCTTTTGTTAAAATCTTCATTGATCCTTACTTTTGAAAATATTTTCTTCAGTGCCCACGTAATCTTCTGAAAACTGTGTTTCTCCAGTCTCCTTTAATCACATAACCTAGTACATATCGCTTATATATATATATATGTAATTTGCACTTGTACATACTATTTGTCTTAAAATTGTCATGGCATCGTATGCATCCTCTCCTGTTTCATATCAAGTACCATTTTCTGGAGGAGTTCAAAATTTCAGTCTGACGTGCTTCTTGGGCAGGTCTTTTCTGATGCGCTGATGGTTGACAAGATATCAGAAGATGATGATTTTTTTGAGATGGGTGGTAATTCTGTATCTGCTGCTTATGCTTCCTTTAAATTGGGAATCCATATGAAGTTTCTCTACACTTATCCAACTCCACAGAAGATTGAGATGGCACTTCTATCATCTAATTATAATGTAAAAACCGATAGTCATTTGGGACAGGATTTGAGAAAACCTGAAGGAGACATTCTTCCTTCTTCAGAATCTGGGATTCTTGGTTTTCAAGGAAGCAAGCCTCGTGCACGTTCGTATGTGTCTGATACTGAAAGTGATGCTTGTAATCCTCATAAACACTTGAAGGCAAAGTCAAATTTGTACACGGATTCAACTGAGCCAAGACCCAGAGATGAGGATTCTTTGAATCCCAGCCCAATGCACCTTGCATGTTCTTTTAGCCGATGCAATAAAGTAATCCATGGGGGGCAATGTGAGGGCAATACATTCTGCCATGCAGTCTGGTCGAACAAAATACCAAGAGAAGGAGGAGGCTTTATGCGAGAACTGTGGAAAGTAGATATGGAGTCCTGTGTTGATGCATCGCCATTGATTGTTTTTACAGAAAGTAATATTTACCTGTTTGTTGGATCTCACTCACACAAATTTACATGTATCAACGCCAAAAGGTAATGTTGGTTGCTAATTTTTTATTGAGAAATCTTCTGAATCATATCATTCTTAGAAATTTGTGAATATATGTTGCCTTAAGCATACTCCGTGACAGATCTTAATGCTTGTCTTCTAATTTTTTTATGGAGAAAAGATATGTAGTGTTTCCTTTTTGAGATAGGAGAAATTATTTGAACTGTAATTTTTTATAAGTCTCACTGCTCTTCTGCAGTTATCTGGCTGATAGTTTGTGCTTGGAGGTCGTCTTATTGTCCGTCTGAGGTTTTCTATATGGTTGATTCAGAGTAGTAATCTAGAAAACCACTGACAAACAACAGTGGGACTGGCTGGGGATTGCTTTAAATTCTTATACATAACAGTCGTCTCTTTTTGAAATCTCAGACACTGAATACCTGTTTCTGAAACCACAGAAGATACATAGTGTAGCTCTGTTATTAATGATTTGTCTATTACATTTCAGTAAGTGGCAGCTCCAGAAACTGGTTGGATATGATCTCTAGTATTTATATCCTTGATTGTTTCTATTAAGTTTGTCTCGAAATTATTAGAACATTCTACCTGAAATATGAGAGGCCAAAATCTTTAGTTTGGAAATCACTTGATACCAACTACCTCATGGTTGATGTGATTTGTCTTATAGCTGACATTATAGCTCTCCAATAGAGCTTTTGTCTTCATCAGAATTTCTCTTCTTTCTAGTATTATCTTGGAAAATTTTTCCCATGGAGATCTATTTATATCATAATACATGTTGGATTTCTCAACTTCCAAACACATTTTTAATAGTTTTTACAACACCCCACCCCTACCCATGGCCAACCCAAAAAAATCACGATGGACATAACCATGATTTTGATAGAATAACACTTTATCCTTTTATCTGCCGTTATTTTCCTTCATTCCTACATTTTCCATAATTGATTTTGACCTAAATCTTGACAAATTTAATCTGTCTTTATACATGTTGGTGTCACCATTTGAGAACAGTGATAGGATACTCAACTTCACTTCCTTTCTCCTAAGAGACAGAAGAATTGTAAATTAGCCTGCAAAGTGAAGGGAACTACATTTCAGCATGTAGTTTGTAATTTTGCATCGACTGTTTTTCAGCAATATATATCAAGCACCTAAAACATGCATATTCATTTCTTCTATTACATTTGATAGTTTGAGCATAATGGAAGATATTTTTCAGAAAAGCTCACAATTCTTACAATTTTCTACTGGGGTTTAAGAAAAAAACTTACGATTCTTTCAATTTTCTAATACTAGGGTTATATTTTGTATATGGTTTAGTGGTATTGTCTGCTGGGAGACTAAACTGCAAGGGAGGGTAGAATGCTCAGCAGCAATTTTGGATAATTTTTATCAGGTTATATATTACTTTTATCCTTTTAACTTTTTAATTTCATATCTTTCAAAAATGTGCCTAGAGCTGACATGAATGCCTTTAGATTGTAGTTGGATGTTACCAAGGAAATGTTTATTTTCTAGATTTTTCAAGTGGCAGTGTCTTCTGGAGTTTTCAAACATATGGTGAGGTATGATAATTCCAAAACCTTAATTTTGTTTGTTATGAACTAGAATAAATTTTTGATGCGTAATTTCTGGAGTTTTGTTAAATGTTCTAGAGACTATTATAGATATAATGATGATATATGAACACATGGATTTGTTTCTTTCATTTCAAAGCAATGCGAGCAACGCGATAGGTCCCCAAACATGCAGCACAATGCACATGATAGTTATTTTACATAATAATATTAGTTTGTATTTAGTGGTATTATGGGGATTTAGTAAAATAAATTGTTTAGGCCTTTAACTGTAAATGGATGGGTAGGGTGCTCATTTTCAGGAGGGTAGAAAAAGAGTGTCAATTGGGAGAGAGCAAAGTCTCTAGAAAGCTTATTGAGCTATTATAATTTTCATTCAACTTTTATGGTAATTCAATATAGTTCCAGTTCAGCACCAGAAAATACAAATACAAATCAGAATCCTATGTCGATGTGTTAAGATATCTGTTTTTTTATAAATTATTTTTATAGTTATCTTGGTCGGTGCTACCCAAAAAAGAGAAGAAAATTTCAACAGTCCTCCCTCTCCCTCGTCCTACCCCCCCCCCCCCCCCCCCCCCTCCAACATTTTTTTTTCACAATTGTATAATTTACATTAAAAAAAAAAAAAAAAAAAAGAAAAAAAAAAGAAAAGAGAAAGAAAAAGACCATTATCCCTTGCTGATCTTTGAAGCTATGATAGAAGATCTAATAAAAAAAATTTGTCAGGTTTACACAATCTCATTTAATTTTAATGCATTTTTCTCTTTCTTCTTTTCAACGACACATTCTTCAATAAAATAATATTTTATGTAAATTAAAAACTTTTCATTCTCTTTTAACCGCACATTCTCTAAAAAAAATCACTATCCCAATATACGTTTTTCCCTAAAAACTAATTTTAATGGATCCTAAACAGGGATCGTTATAAGAGATGGTAAAATATATAGCATTTTATTCATGGAGTAAGAGAGAATGGACAAATCTGCTTGGGGCTTACTTTTCGAATCCCTCACATGAAACAACCTTTAATACAGCTGTTATGCACCAAATGTCAAATCTGGTGAGTACTGTTTATGGGCAGTATTCTTGTATCCTAGAAATATTCCCTTTCCTTAAATTTCTGGTGCACTTTCTTCACACTATCCAATCCTTTTTATTCACCACTTAATACTTAAACATCCTACCATAAATGAAAGATGTTTATATAACTGAGTTAGCTGTCATTCTAATCTGTTGATAGGAACTATCTGAAAATCATTTGAACTATTTTTAACTAAGGTTTTAAAAGGTGTAACACAAAGCAAGGCGGCTAGGCCGAGTCTAAAGCCTTACGAACCTAAGCATGCCTAGACGAAACCTCGACGTAACAAGGTGTTTCCTTAATTTTAATATTATTTTAATTATTTTAAGATTATCAATAATAATTTCTTTTATTTAATTAGTTTATTTAACTAAAAAAAGGCACGTGCCTTTTGGCTTCTGGGCCCACATTAGTCACACCTTTTACCGCCTAGGCCCAAATTTAGGCAGTCAAAGGCGGGTTGACACCTTTTTCATGCCTTTCCCATATGCAGGGTGACTTCTTCATGCCTAGGGCTCACCTTTTCCCGCCTTTTAGAGCAAACTGATTATAACCTGTAAATATATTACGAGAGAAATATTAAAATTTTACTTCCAAAAGTGTACTACTTTCCACAGTGGCAGATGACGAGAGGGTGGTAGTGGTTCGAAGTTTCTAGAAAGGAATTTACACGTCATTCATTTTAGTCATGCAGTCATCACGACAAATAGCATAGTGAAAACTGAAACATGGAGCAGTTGATTGACTATTTGCCTGTTACCGCAGTAGTTTCACTATATCTGCTCTATTCGTTTCTCATTTCAATCAGTCATTGAAATGGTTAAACTTGTCCATTGATTTTCTGATATTTATTTTGTTCTAACCTTTTGCAGGTCAAATCACAACCAGTGATTGACAAATGCAGGAATTTGGTCTGGTATAGTTTACACTCGTTCTATTGGTCAGATTGCTTATAAGGACTTTCACTATATAAATTTGTTTTTTTTTATCTGTAAACTTTACAAAATCACTCATGAAGAGGCCCCTGGTCGTCTTGCGTCACCTAGTAATAGTTTATTCTTTGGTTTCCTTCTCTATATATTAGTTAAGTTCATCTTACATTATATATAATACGTTTGAATCAACTGCATCTAGTTGAGGGCAAATAATATCATGATATCTGAGTCCTTTCAAGACCAAAGTCTAAAGATACCTTCATCTGACCTATATCCATCTATCTGCAGTTGGTAGATCATTTCTTTTAAACCAAAATGAGCAGGACTTGAAATTTCATACGTTCAGTTGTCAAGTGATGCTTTTCACCTCAGTGCACGGAAAAACTCTCGTTGTCGGTTGTCCTGTAGTTCTTTTTTGTGATTTTCTTGACTTGAAATTGATGCATAGCACTCTAACATGGCATCAAATCTGAATTGGTTTCTAATTATTGCAAAAAAATTTTGCAGGTGTGGATCATATGATCACAATCTCTATGCCATCGATTACAAATGTTACAGCTGTGTTTATAAACTTCCTTGTGGTGGCAGTATATTTGGTTCACCTGTTATTGATGAGGTAGGTTTTAGCAAAATCACAGTGGAGTAACATTTGTAGTTTATTTCACTTGATCAGACAAATAGGAAGTTTCCACTCTTTCTGTCACCAGTAGGTTTATTTATTTATTTATAATTTTCTTAAAATTATGTAATTTGTGCTCTGGCTGCTACCATACAACTCTGAGTGCCTACATTATCCAATATTAGATATATTCACTATTTTTAAGTTTGAGAAGATGTGGCTTAAAGTAAAAGGTTTTGGGGAATGAGTACGGACTTGGTGGGCATCCTATGACTTTGAGAGGCATCCCAATTATGTGCTGGATTGAAAATTGAAGGCCTTGAAAAGAAATCTAAAGAGGTGGAATGAGGAGGTAGCGGAAGATGTTAACTATTGCAAAAATCAGTGTCTATCAAACATAAAAGAGTTGGATAGGAGGGAGGAAAGTCAAGGACTAGTAAGGGATGAGAGGGCTAGACATGGAGAATTAAGGGAAGAGTTTGAGAGGTTGGTGGAGATGGAGGAGACTGCTTGGCTTCAAAAATTCAGGATCAAGTGTTTGAGAAGGGGGACAAATGAACCCAATTTTTTCATAGGGTCACTAATTCCAATAGATGCAACAATTCTATCACTATGTTGGAGGTGGAGAGGGTTACTTATGAGGATCCACAAGATATCGGGATCCATATGGTAAGTTTGTATCTGACTCTTTATCGGAAGCAGATTGACTGGAGTCAGAGTTGGAGGGGCTAGATTTTTCTACTATTAATGAGGAGGATGCCAGTTGGCTAGTGAGATCATTTAGGAAGGATGAAATTAGGGAAGTGATGTTCAGCATGAATGATGATAAGGCTCCAGGACTGGATGAATTCTCTTTCTCATTCTATAAAGCTTGTTGGAAAGGGGTACAATCGAACATTGTGGATGTCCTTACATATTTCTTCCAGTGTAAAGGTTTGTAAGAAGCGTCAATGCTACATTTATTGTGCTGATTTCTAAGAAATCGGGAGTGATGGATGTTAACGGCTTTCTTCCTATTAGCTTAATGATTGGGGTGTATAAGATTATTGCGAAGATTCTGGCTAAAAGATTAAAGGTGCTGAGAAAGTTGTGTCTACGTTTCAAAATGCTTTCGTCAAAGGGCGCTAAATTTTAGATTCCGTATTTATAGTAAATGAATGCATTGACTTAATTTTGCGTCTAGGGGGTTCTAGGAATGTTGTGTAAGTTTGACATTTAGAAGGCTTATGATCACGAAAACTGTGGATTTCTTTTGTATATGCTCAGGCAATGTGGCTTTAGGATAAGTGGTGCCAGTGCATTCAGTTTTGTATCTCTATAGTTTCTTTTTCATTTATGGTGAATGGCACTCCGGAGGGTTACTTTCGTAGTAGTTGAGGATTGAAGCAAGGGGATCCTTTGTCTTTAATGTTGTTTGTCATTGTAATAGAGGCTTTCGGTAGAATGCTTGAGAAGGCCGTGGAGGAGAGTTTGTTAAGGGGCTTTGTGGTTGAGCAAAGCAAGTATCTCGTTTGCTATTTACGGATGATATGCTGATCTTCTATGAGGTAGATTTTAAGCAATTCAGGAACTTACGTCATTTGTTCTTGTGCTTTGAAGCCGTAACTGGATTGAAAATAAATTTGGAGAAATCTAAGGATATCACATTGGGAGACGTCAATAACGTGGAGGAGTTGGCTGCTATGTTGGGTTGCAGGGTTGCGCAGCTGCTTATGACATATTTGGGCTTCTTTAGGAGCACGGTTAAAAGTATATATATTTGGAACAGTATCGTGGAAATGGTCGAGAAAGCTGACGGGTTGGAAGTGTTATGTACCTCTCAAAGGAAGGCGTCTTACTCTTATAAAGTCCACTTTGTCGAATCTTTCTACTTATTTCTTATCATTGTTTCCTATTCCTACGGCTGTGGTAAAAAGATTAGAAAAGATTCAATGGTTGGGTGGTCTCAGATTGAGTCTTGTACTGTTTAATAAGGCCTTGTTGGGTAAGTGGTGGTAGCGATTTGGAATGGAGAGGGAGAGTTTTTAGAGAGAAATTATAGGTGCAAAATATGGTGTCATAGAGGGGGACGGTGCTTAGTCGAGAGTCGTAGTTCTTATAGGGTGAGTTTGTGGTAATATATCCGGCGAGGGTGGAGCGATTTTTGAGATAGATTAACTTTTGTAATGGGGAATGGTAATACCATCAGTTTTTGGGATGATTGTTGGTGTGAAGATCAACCCCTAAAGGTGGAATTTCCTTCTTTGTATCGTGTTGCGTTAGTGTCATCTGCTATGATGAATGATGTCCTAGATATACATAATGGGAGTTTCAGTTGGAACAATGTTTTTGGCCGGGGTTTATAGGACTGGGAATTGAATGATTATGCGCTGTTTTTGACATCGTTGTTCGAGGTACACATCAAGGTAGGAGAAAATGATAGTAGCATGTGGAGGTTGACAAGGGATGATATTTTTTCTGTTTGCACTTATTTTAGATCCTTATTGAAGATGGTATGGAAATATAAACTGCTACCACGGGTGGTATTTTTACTATGACTGATGGTCAGGGGACAAGTGTTAACGGTGGATAGTCTTCGAAGAAGGGGTTTTTATGTTACAGAGTGGTGCTTTATGTGTAGGAGGGATGGAGAAACGATTGACCACTTGTTCCTGCATTATGTTCTGCTCGTTTATTGTAGAATGATATCCTGACATTGCAACACATGGATTGGGTGTTGGTAAAGCGTATGGAAGACGTGTTAATGGCATGGGGAAGAAAATTTCGCGATAAGGATAACAAGCTTTTATGGGACCATATTCCGGTAAGATTTTTGTGGAGGGAAAGAAATAGCCGCTATTTTGATGATTAAACACGGACAATATAGTAGATTAGTGAATTGTTTTATTTAACATTGTATATTTGGTTTAATGTTGCAGCTATTGGGCATATAGACAGGCTGCTCAATTTCATGTTGTTCTTTTCTGGTTTAGATTGATAATACGTTCCTTTGTATTATGCATTGATTAATAAAATATTTGATTACCTTAAAAAAAAAGGGATATATTCACTAGGATTTGTAAAGCACATACAGGATGAATTTTTTTAATGGCTTATGCTAAAATTGCCTCGCAAACTAAGATCAACTGAGAGCAATTTGTGCTGAACAATTGCGAATTGCAGGGAGTATATTGTGTTTGTGACTATGTTAGTGCCAGTTATGGCATGCTAATGCAGAGAGGTCAAAATTGGAATAGGAGCCTAATTGAAAAGGCTCAAATCAAAGCGCATGTTAATATGCATATATGCGAGTTTCAGAAATTAATGCCTTCTACTAGGGAAAGACCTAGAATATCATTTGTAGTTTCAAGTTGAGAAATCTTCATTCTAGATTAATGTAGAACCCCACTGATCCTCTTCATTCCGCAGCATCATCTTCATTTAGAGTGCATACTCTGCCAAAACAGTCTCCTATCTGCGGAGTATCTGTGTAGGCACTTGAGAGGTTTGATTTGAAAGATGAGAAATACAAACTCACGTCTATTAAGATGAGATTGAAATAAATCCAGGTGGTATCACCAAAGGGAGTATAAATATTTCTTTTATAACATCTTTCTTAGATAGGAGTAGACATTTGTCATCTTTTTACTCATTTATATTTGGAAATGTAAAAGTTAGCATGACTGGCTGTGGCTGTCTGGAGTGGTGTCCCTAACATAAGCTCATGAGAGGAGAAAGGTTTTCTAACGAACAGGAGAAGCTGTCAGGTAGGGGTGGTCACCATTTACACTGGTTATGTGGAGGAGTACATTTAAGCAGGGACGAGGTCAGAGGAGTAGCAGCCATGTAAATGGTTGGTTTGTTGGATTATTTTTGGCTTAGGTTTGTCCCGGTGGGAAGGTAGCCATTTTTCGTTTGGCTTAAACAGTCCATTTTGCATTTGGGCAATTAAGTGAAAATGTTCATTTGACCAGATAGTGGGGAAATTGCTTCTAGTCAGCATTGTGCCCCTATTCCAGAATGTACCAAACATGAATGTTCAACTTGGACTTATCCCAGGCAGTCGTAGAGGAACTGCAATAAAATTTATGTTTACTTGTGTTTCTTTCCTTCTGCATATGAATATGTACTTACATTATAAATATAAAATGTATTTGTAATTCCGACAGTTTCTCAGCTGTTACCCTTTTGTTGTTTTCATTCACTACCTTTCTTGGACAGCGATCTTATTTTTTTTATTTTTTATTTTTCCTTTTAATTTTGCAGGACCAAGAAAAGCTTTATGTGGCATCTACTAGTGGCCACGTGACAGCATTGTTAATCAAGGTATGGGAATCACAAAATTAGATTTGATTTTGTTGTATCATTTTATCTTTCTTAATATGTCTGTCAAATGTTGTTGACTACAAAGTAAAACTAACCTTAACTAAGCATATTGACGTTGCTGTTGGTAATACATCGAAATCATTTTTAGGTTCAGGAAGTGGTTAATCCACTTATTTACTGCTGTGTTTGTTTTGTTTTGGCTTTTGAATCTTTTTAACTACAATTTTTAGAGGTATTTAACTACAATTTTGCAATTAATTATAATATCAGTTTTACTATTTATGCGTGCTGCATCTGTGAATATCAATTTCTTCTTCTTTTTAACTACAATTTTTAGAGGTATTTAACTACAATTTTACAATTAATTATAATATCAGTTTTACTATTTATGCGTGCTGCATCTGTGAATATCAATTTCTTCTTCTGGAACAATTGTTCAAGATGGTATGAGTTATCATCTTGTTTCACAAACGTGTTATTTGTAGATACAGGCAGCTTTCTTAGATGTTTTTCTTTTTTTGGTTAAATTTCCCTTCCTTGGTGTCGGCATCTTTAAACATCCCATCTCATTAACCATGATTTGAGACTGTTTGATTCTTATTATTTTGCATTATATTTTCATGCTTTGTGATGCTTTATATGCGTTTTTGCATAATTAATAGAATTGTAACAAGGTAGACTGTACAAGTAAAAATAAGAAAAAAAATTTGATGTACCGGATCAAGAATAAGTATGTACTGGCATCATTAAGATACGAGAGCCTGTTTTAGTTCGTTTTTACCATGCGTATCACTGTAGAAGATTGAACTCGTGTCACTGGTTAATGCTTTAGGGGAATAACTGAATTTAAATTTATCTGATGTGTTACTGTCCCATAACGCGCTCCTTATATTCTCCTTGTCATTTAATATCACTTATGATATAGCTCGTGCTGACATGTGAGCTACATGTTCCTACAGGCTAAGCCTTTTGATAAATTGTGGATGCGAGATTTGGGAGCGCCAGTATTTGGGTCTCTTTCAATCAATTGCTCTAATGGAAATGGTAAAGATGTGGTCCATCTCAGGTCTTTGTTTATGTTGTTCATGGCTGGTATAATCACATATGCATTATGTCATACAAGGATATAAAATTTTCTGTATTCCAAAGCTATGCAAATCCAACATTCGTTGGATATCTCTGTTGATTATTAAGGCTCATAATTTTTAGTTTTTGCAAGATCGAGTGGCTGTACTATTCTGCTTTTCTGTTTTATAACACCCAGGTAGCACAATCTTGTTTATATCTAGTAGTTACTCTGCTCACTGCCTTCCCAACACCCAGAAAATGGAAAAAGGAAAAGGAAAAGAAGAGAGGAAATTCACGTTTATGCTTTGTTATTCCTTAAATGTTCATGTGCAGTTGCACTGCACTGTTTGTATCTCCTGGTGTTTGAGATGTCCTATTCATATCTCGATGTGCAGTCATTTGTTGCTTGGTGGATGGGACTGTTGTTGCACTGAATACCTGTGGATCCATCATTTGGAAGGTATAATCAGTTTTCTTCTTGATGACTTCTATAGATGGGTGATTTAACAACAGTTGCTGTACTATGATGTTAATTAATGCAACCTACCATGTGGTCATTCTGATAAATAAGCCAATGAATTGTGGTAGAGAGATTCTTCGATTACTAGTCATCCGAGCTGATGTCCCACTGGATATATCACTTTATGACCTGCTGGAAAATTAAAAGACAACTTTAATGTTGTTTGACTTTCTTCATTTCATTAGAGATCATATTTTCCTCTGTGTGGTTTTCTGCCTGCAATACTATTTCCTCAATAGTGGAAGTCCATTTTATTGACTGGTGTACATGGCTAGAGGGGGTGACCGAATGATAAAGGCCTGAAATTTTTGTATAACGTGTAATTCCTGTATGTAATTAGCATGAAGTATTATATTTATTACACAGATTTGTTCTGTGAATGTCTTCCCTTTTACCATTTTCGTCTTTTTATTGATTAAATGACTAATCCTCACAGGGAAGCACCCTATGAATGCTTTCTGGAGAAGCTGTAGTTAATATTTATCATTCTGAAATCATATTTTGCTATGTACATGCACAGAAGAAAAATGATGGGAAAAAAATCCAAATCTAAGTTTGAATTTTTAATGTTTCAGTATTTTTTTCTTCTCTCTGTATTTTATTCTTGCACAATTCCTTGTAACTATTTTTTTTCAACCCTTTTTCATGTAACAGGGAAGAACTGGCGGGCCAATTTTTGCTGGACCTTGCATATCTAAGTCTTTACCTTTTCAGGTAAAATTATTTTATGTGAGTTGTGTGGTTATTTTACAGCTATATGATAAGATACTGTATGGGGAAAAGATTTTGCAGATAAAGAACATCTGTAGTGTTAATCGCAATAATTTACCATTTGACAATTATAGGGTTATGACTCGATGCTAGCACCAAGAACTAAATTAAAGTTCATGCTAGTAATGATAAAAATTAATTTCATTATGAAAGCAATCTCATCGCAATATTAATATTTTTCCAGCAACTAGTTATGAACTAAAATTAATTTCATTATGAAAGCAATCTCTTACAGGTTACCAACGTGATCCCCATTTTACTTGAAGATAAAAAATTGATATAGTGCCCAGCAACTAGTTATGAACTTATAATAGCTTCTAAATGTATCATTAGACCCCTGTAATCTTATACTGCTACTGTCCATGAATTAAATCAGAATCGTGTGAGTTGTGTCTTATACAGGTACTTGTATGTTCGAGAGATGGAAGTATCTACTCCTTTGAAATGGTAATATCTTGAATTCTACATGTATCGATTGTAGCTTCTGTAGACTTGTCAAGTATTATTTGTTAATTTGAGATTCCATGACCTTTTTCCTTTCTGTATTTATTTGGGGCAAGTAAAAGGGATTCTCAGAAGATGTATGAAGCTGACACAATAGCTACCAAACGAATCCGAAATGGCCACAATTGAAAACCTCGTAAAATACCATCTGAAGAACCTTCCTGGAAGATATGAGAGTTTTGGATTCAAATGAAAAAAGTACTAAAGGTTGCAAAATTCACCCACATTCAGTGAACACAAATCTCCTCGTTGTTACTAGGTTTGGGTACAAATCTGCTGTTAGTGTCCTCATTGCGAATGTTTCCATTTGACTGACAAGATAACTGTTAACCTGTCACCCATTTACACCATTCACCATCTTGGACCTCTAAGAATGATGCAATGTCCAGCTGGCAAAATGTATCATCCCTCATTTATTTTCCCTGAATAGAACCGCTTATGTGTACCACTTTCTTGGGCGCGACCAGTTGTTATATTGAGCTATTAACAATAACACGTTCATACTGTTTGCCTCATATATGGTGTGCCGACAATGTACCTGGATACTTAATTTTCGATAAGTGTAAGAAAATATGTATGATCCAGCAATTTAGATTGAACATCAATCATAATATCATCTTTATTCCAGGAAAAGGGTAATCTACTCTGGGAGCATGCCGTTGGACAACCAGTTACGTCATCCCCTTATGTTGATGAATCCTTGCAGCTGACATCTGATGTTTCCCAGTTGTCTGACAGGTAGTAGATAAATAGTTGAAATATTGAATATTACCTTAACAAAATAAAATTCTTTCACTTTGTTCAGGTTAATCTGCATCTGTGGCAGTTCTGGAAGTATTCGGGTGCTTCTAATTGATTCATATGCTCTTGGAGATTTACATCAAAATAAAAAATACAGGGTACAGGAATTTGCTAGGTTGGACCTTGAAGGAGATATCTTCTCTTCGCCAGTGATGATTGGCGGCAAGATTTTTGTAGGTTGCAGGGATAACCATGTGTACTGCATTGAGCTGCGTAGTAAATATGAGCTTAATCCCGAAGTCAGTTTTTGTTGCTAATCCTATGATACTGGAGTTAAAAGAAGCAATTTCCAGGAGAAAAATCTCAAGTGCATCGATAAGTTGGTGCCATGGGAAATGAGGGGAATACAACTCAGAGGCCACGAGGATATGTGCCTCATCTTGGAAAGGCTGTGCAGGATCTGCGTGTGAAAGCATTACTTATCTAAGAAAGTAATTTCAGAGGAGAATTTCCTGAAGGGCAGACTGCTTATAATTATCCTGTTAAACTGCACATCAATTTTCAAGTCATCATTCCACAACACTTCCAGAGAGCTCTCGTGTGGATCCAGAAGGATACTTTCCATGCGATAGATTCTGCTCGCTGTATAGTGTATCCTCAGGGTAATGCAGCTGGGTTTGAGAATAGTTTGCATTGCCATCTTGGCCATGGATGTTTCTAGCGTTAGATACATCCAACAGAATGATCATTTCTGAATTCTAGTTGTTAGTATCCCTCGTGCCAAATGGAGTGCAAGGGGCAGAAGAAATTGAGTCTCAAAAACTGTGTTAAGAGTTGGGGAAGTCGACCTATGCCTTTGGGAAGTTTCATCGATAATCTAAAGGCAAATGCTGCAGTGGATTTTTTTCCAGTTCTGAGAACATCCCCTTGCTCGTGTGTTTGTTACAGGTGGAAGTCTATAAAGTTATTATGACAAACTGGCATTCTGAGGGCAGCTTTCCAAAGATTTCCTCAACACGAATGGCATTCTTGCAATTGGAATGCT